GTGTTTCAGCTGCTTATATTGACTGACATAAAAAAAAAACATCCCATTTTCACCGCCGCTAAATATAGTAAACAATTCTTCAGTGACGTGCACGGTTAGATTTAACACGTGGCGTTATAATGGAGACATTAATGCATGGAGACTTTAATGTGCTTCTGTTGTGAAAAGCCCGGGGGAAGTAGTTTTGTAGTAGAGCTACCGTAGGTAGACTGGTGTGTAAGGTGAGTCGTCCTTTTAAGTTTTATTAACAGGCAACGATTGACCTGATAATGATCTTTTCTCAACCCTTCACGATCGGACTAAAATGCATGATTACTGTCTACAACCAGGCAAAGAAGAAAAGACGTAGGAGAGAAGAGAAACAGTGATACAGAGGTACAGTAAAAGAAAACTCAATAAGCAAAGTTTGTACATTTTATTATCAGCTGAGCTGTGAGGAAAAAATACCGTCAAATACCATGAAACTGGTGTAATTGTTGAAAATACCATGATATAAAATTTGGGTCATACCGCCCAGCTCTAGTTAAAGGTACTGAAGAGATCATTAAAAAAACATTGAGATCATCATAAAGTGAAACAATCACAACTAATCAAACACAGTACTTTTTACATGGTGAGTACTAAAAACATGAAGTTTACAGGAAAAGTTAAATGTTTCTAAATGATTGCCATTGGTCGTTCGGTTATTATTTTCCACAAAACGATCACACCTAAGGTGAACGTCACACCAAAGACGACACGCACGTACTTCTTTCTCATAATTTTTTTCAAATACTCGAAGATGTTGACGAATGCCTGCTTTTTCTGCCACTCTCTCAGCATATCCACGGTGTAGCAGCCGCCTGGGCGCTGAGTCGCCATCTTCTGGATTGTGCTGAGCAGCTGCTTCACCTGGACCTGGTTGTTCCTGTATTCATCCTGCTGGTTGCTCTTCCAGTACCTGTTATCGACGACGAGGCACCGCCCACCGCACCTCTCCACCACCTCTTTCAGGCGCCGGTTCTTGTTGACGAACTCATCGATTTTCAGGTCCTCCAACTGGTTTCCGTACGTGAAAACGACAACGACGTGCTTGAAGACGTCGGGGGAGAAGCAGGCTTCGATACTTTTGATGACCTGCGACTCCTGCTCGGTGAACTTTTCCACTTTTAGCACGATGAGAAAAGCGTGGGGCCCAGGAGCGCTCTCTGAGACGCTCCTCACAATCTCRTCCTTCAGCTGCTGCTCGGACCACCGTGGATGGAAGAAACCAGGCGTGTCGGTCAGAGTCAGGTTCTGTCTCTCAAAACGGCCCGTCGCTGTCTGACAGGGAGTGGCCTCTGTGTTAGTAAAATGTTGAGCTCTGAAATGCTCCTTTCCAAGTATGGTGTTCGCCAGGCTGCTCTTCCCAGATCCAGTCTTCCCCAGCAGAACAATCCTCAGTGTGTCAGGCACTAGAAGAAAAGCAAACAATCAGTGATACTTTATTTTCTATTCATGCTACAGAAAAACTGGACATGTTTTAAACATTTAAATAGGCCAAAGAAAATARTGATTAGTTATTTAACCCTAACTGATGCAGAGAAAAGCTTCTTATTTGTCAAAGATTTATCAATAATAAACAACTTATCAGCCATGACATCAGTCCAGCTAAGCTAATGTATCGACCTGTAAGGTGTGTTTGTCCTGCTGCAGCTTTAATTGATTAAATCCAAAGTTTTGGAGGGGTCGTACTAAAAGGTAAATATGRTGCAGTAAACAAGTAAACACATTAGCCTATAGGAGTTTTTGAACAAGCCTGAAGTAAAATGTATCTTCAACAATCTTTAGGGTCACTAAGAACAAAACAAAGAGATTTTTTTTATAAAATTATTATTTACAGTTTCTTACAGCAAAACCACTTGAACAAGCTTTTGAACAAGACTGCAGSGAATATTTTTCCATCAAACTCTATAACTCATCCCTAAAACATGTGAAACCTCATCTGTCACTTTATCCCATCGATCTGTGCAATTTGTTTTAATCAAGTATATTATTCAAACAACACTTCATAACATCATCTCATTTTATATCATCCTATAATATCTTTTTGAGACATTTTTATTATTCTCTTACCTGGCACACTTTTTATTTATTTATTATGTGCAATACTTTACACCTAACCATACTGTCTATACTTTTGTTTTATATTGTGTATATTCCGTAAGGTTTATTTTTCCATACGGTATACACGATACTAAACATACTGTACATATTTCATAAGGCTTTTTTCTCAGAATGTGTGCATTTTGTTTCTTTTTTTAAAATACAGCATGTTTATCTTTATTCTTGAATTATTAGATGGTTGCAGCTGTAATAAATGTACTTTTCCTCTGGGCTCAATAAATAATTTCTGATCTTGAATCTGAACATATCTTACTGTTATTTTTTTTCACAGCATTTGACTCTTCTAATTTTATTTTAAGTTATTTATACTAACATACCAGAATAATGTTATAATTGCACTTTCACCTTATTGCCTTCATTTCTAAGTTATCAGCTCTTTCACTGAAAATGACTGCATTTACGAGGTGTAGTTGACCTTTAATGCGCATGCGTAAAAT